AGTCCTCCATCCTAAAGATATTGTACTTCATATGTACTTGCCAGAACTTCATATCGCACTTTGGTATCCTTGAAAATCGCTCATTTTTATAAATGAAAATGTTCATTGCCCTTTTGTGCACTGTGACTACTTTCATGTAATCAGTCACATAGGAAACTACTGTGTTTTATAGTTTGGGCCACGTGGCATATCTTTCCCATTCACTGTGTAAATGGAGTGTAAAACCTCCATTCACCCCACCTTTAAACCTGTTTGTTCTCTCCAGGTTTGACCATGACGTGCCGGGTGCCCCAGTCCAGCCCATGAGCCTGCCACCCCCGGCCATGATCCCCATGGCCCAGAACATCAGCTGGGGCCAGCCCCCCGTCCACCCCATGTACCAACCAGTCATGGCTGCCGCCTACTACGTCCCGCCCCACATGGTACAGATGCCGCAGCGGGCCGATGTGACCGTGATGCCCGACGGATCCCAGGTCACTGAGGAGAGGAGAGGTTACTGAGTCCAGCTGCAGCGAGCGGACTGCTGGAGTTTAAGCAGGTAAAATAAGATGGAAAGGAATCATTTGTGATCCGTAGATGTGCCTAATATTAAAGTGAAGTGGTAAGAATACAGTACAATGTAGCTGCAATGAACACAACAGGGTCCAAGCAAAATAATCTTCGTTGCAGTTGTTCTGTTTAGCTGTGTTGTACTGTAATTTCAGGAGGGACATGTGGAATGTTCCATTTCATAAGGCCAAGCCAAATGGAGTGGAAAATTTTATCTGTCACTGAATGGAAGGGTTCACTTTAGTTTAGATAAAAATTGCCTGTTGAAGTTTGATCACTGTCATTCAACTGTATGCATTTTCAATAGAGATATATGTATTGGCATTTTTGAATTCAGCAGAAAGAGAGCTGTCCAGTGTACGTCGTATACCTAGGGTGTACAGTATACCTAGGGTAGAAGTATAAGGTGACAATGTGACATTATTCTGGCAGCTCTGTGTCTTGGTTCCGGACATTGTTTCAACATTTCAGACCAGGCACGAATAATGCTATCGTCAAAATTGCTGGGAAAATGACATTTTTAGATATATGCTCCTGCTATATTTAGAATTAAATAGGAGACAGGTTACTCTTTCTTAATATTAGATGTGAGATTTTGGGGTGTTAAGTTTTAAAAACTAGTCTAATTTACAAATTGATTTTGATTTTTTTTCTCCTCCGTTGCAGATAATGTGATGGACATCCATGCACCATAGAGCAGGACTGAAAACGCTCAAGAACCAGGAAAGCTGAGTCGTTCGTCATGATTTCCATAGTAGAAGATTTGTATAATATCATACTAACCTTAAACAGGATAATCCACAGTTCCCCTTTATACACTCAGTTTAAAGTTATTGTGTAATCACATTATAGGGCACGTACAAGAGCTTGATTGTGACATGATTTGCTAACTTGCCTCCAACAGAGAGGACTTGTGGTTTGCAAGGTATTTCTAAAAGGAACTGTCAAGAAATAGCCTTTTTGTCGACCAGCTACGTTTAATTTCCATATGTTGAATTATTTGCCCACAGTAAAACACACACACCCACGCAGGGATGTATAAAGTAATTGTGGGGACAGGCACTCCTCTTTGCACCTGTTTTGTGGGGACCCAAAACACTATGGGGACAAAATTTTGCCTCCACAACTCGGTCCCAAATTTCTCGACGAAAGAAATGATCCCTTCGTGCTGTGAAGGCCTTCCCTCGCACACATACACACACACACACTCAACAGAAAAGGAAAAAGGAAATGAGTTCTGTGGTTTGGCGTGTAGCTGGAGTCGGTTTTCTGTCCTGTTCTTGATGCATTGTAATGTGCTTATATTTCTAATTACCAGAGAAATGGGGGAGGGGGGAAGGGAGGGAAGCCCTGCTGTGATCTTTGCAGCGTTCCTCCCAAAGCTATAAGGCAAGCCCATTTTTCTCCCACGATCCTCTGAGATGTGACAAAGATGGTGGAGGGCTCCCTTCATGTGTCCTCCCATCTGTATGATTTTTTTTTTGTTTAAATTGTTGAGGTGATTTTTACGTTAACTGTAAATTTTTTTTTTAACTGATGAACCATTCAAGTGCAAGTAATGTTATAATGTAACGTTTTAAGGGGTATGCAACTGGACCAATGTGCCCAGATATTCTGAGTTTAGTTTGGTCCGTAGACCTTGTTTCCTTGAACTTTGCTTGGTCACCTACAGAATGCATAAATGGAGCAGAGTTGAAGAAAAAGTGAAAAATTATTGAAAAATGGGGGTCATATCAACAAAGATTGAACTTTTTTTATTGTCTGTGTACATGTACTTTTAACTCAACTTTGTCTTCGATTGTCTGACTGTGTATCAGAAATAATTTATTACTTTAAATGAACAGATGGCCGTACTTTGAGGGGGGGGTGTTATTTCAGAGCAGAAGGACACGATTATCCAAAGACTTTGTAATATGCAGGCTAGGTTTTGATGTAAATGCCAAAAAAGTTGAGCAGTGAAAACGGAAAACCCCCTCCTTGCCCTCCTATGTCAAAACCGTTGGCCTTTTTGTAAAAAAAAAAAGAAATCATAGATTTACACATGGATGCAAACTCGTGCCATTGATTTTGAGTTTGATAAGAAATGCCTTTCAAATTGTAACATACTCGACAGTTTCTAATGTGTTTGCAAAATTAAGAAATGGGTGATTGAGGGTCCTGAATACGATTGTGCAGATCAATACGTCAACTTATCAATGGCCTTGTCTTCACTACTCGTGTTTAAGTATAACATGCCCATCCAAGTTCATTACACACTGACAGATGGCAGATGAATGTTCAAAGATGGGGAAGTTTTATTTCATTTATTAATTTATTTTTCTGTTTGTCTGAAAGTCTTGTGTCCTTGATATCAAAATTACCAATTGGATCATACTTGCCATGTCATGATTGAAACAATCTTATAGAATTTCTTCACATCACATTTTGTTTGATTTTGATGCAGTGATGCAATCTTGGAAAAGCAAACAGCTTTTTTTCTGTACGTGAATTTGTGTGTTGTCTGACGTCTGTGTGTCGAAAGGGTGCAGCCATTTGTAATGTCAGAGGTCAGTGTCAAAGGTCAGTGCTAAAGGTTGAGAGTTGTGTACATAACATTGCATGCAGTATGGGCCGTTGTAGATAGCTTGGCTTCATACAGGTTCCAGTGAATTGATGTTTCATTATCAGCTGCAGTTGGTTACTGTCAATGATGATATTAGTTGCAAGAAATTTCTACCGATGTGCAGAAAGGATGATCAGTAGTTGATGTCCAACAAGTGACTCGTTCTTTCAAGAGTGAGCGATTTTTTTTTTGCTGCATACATGTAAAGACAGGAGTAGAGGATATTAAAGGATGTGCTATCCCTCTCAAGGTTCCCCATAGCACCAGTGTGTGGCAGATGAAAGTGTTTACGTTTTTTTCCTGGATGTTAGATCATAGTTCAGCTCGATAGCAGTGTGTAGAATTACGTGTAAATTGGTGACGCTGTATACTATACATATCATTGAGCAGCTTTCGGTGATGAAGAGGCATCCCAGGAACCTGTTGCAGAACAATATTTCTACAACTGTGGGATCTGTTAGGACCATCAATCTCCACTAAATAAACAAAAACCTTTACGTATCTATTGTTCACGAGGTGGTCCTGTGGAAGATAGCGACTCCGCTTATAAAGCCAGTGGTCTGTCCAGGTTTTTTTTTTCCTTAATTGGACATCAGTGGTTTGGACACTTGGGAATTTGAATAGGAGTGTCCATGCTGGACATCCAAAAGACTAGATACATGGTTTTTAATCAAATCCCTGTAAAACCGACGTGCGCAGGGTAATTACTTGTCTTAATTTTGGTTACCGTCAATATGCATATGTTGTACATAACTGTTTTTGTAAACGAGGAAAAATGTAATACTGGAGGCAAGGGCTTTTGTTCGGATAAGTTGGACCAAAAAAACGATTCAATGGTCTGATGGCAAGTCATCTACACAAATGATACCAGAGCAGTTAGCTGCCCCACGTTGTATTTTGCTGTCAGATTTTTGAGGAGAGGATTGTTGTGGAGTGGCAGAACTTGATCAAAGTGGCAGTAACAATATGAGTAGACTGGTCTGCAGTCTGTTTCCAGACAGAAGTACAACTTTCTGGCAAGGTGCGGGTAATCTGCACAAAACAGGAGCTTCGTTTTAAAAAAAATGTTGTTTCAAAATGCACTTTATGTCATTGATGAGCCAAAGTGCAACTCTTGACATTGTTAGTTAGGTGGTTTTTGTATCAAGACTTACGTCATTTGAATTCATTCAAGAAAAATAACAGTAACTGGTTAACCTTAATTAAGGACTTGGCAGTTGTTTTCTCCAACCCTAACAGTCTTGAAATCCTGCTACCAGAGAGAATTCAGAATTGTTAGTTTTAATGATGCATCTGATGATGGTAACACATCAGAGAGTAGTCGGTCAGAGTAGAGTATGGTCACTGTCTGCCCTTGCTACAAATAAGGGCAAAGGTTTATCCATCAAGCTCTTCAGGTGGTACTATCACAAAGATAGTGTGAGTTTATGTTATGTTTAATACAGTGGATAAGATTTCATATCATTGAGTATCGTTTATCCATCTGCATGATAACTGATGAGGCACTTGAACCTAATTATTGAGTGATTTATGAAGGAATGAAAGTTACTAATGGTAGGTGGAAACTGAGTAAATCTTTGATTAAGTTTCATCTAGAGAAAGCGTACTCATTATTTTAAGATCTGATAACAGATTTGGTTTGATTTGATTTGATTTTGCAGCCTATTCAGTTTCACAGAAAGAAGCATGCTTTTTATACATAAAGTTTACAGACATCAAAATTCCAAAGACATGGCTTTCAGGGTCAGAGCGAACGTGTAGGTCCATTTCATAAGTTTGAAGCAGCTGTCATGACTGTTGATTGATAAATTCACTCATATTTGTGAAATATTGATGCTTGTCCCTTCTAAACACCACCAGAAAAACCACTATAGCAACCTGTAAACCACTGTACTAATTGCTGTGACATTATTTTGAGTATCACCTGCCATACTGGTCAAAATAGAAGAGTGGAAAAATGGTATGCCCCTGAGTGTAAGACAGTGGTCCAAACTTAGATGGAAAATTCTGGTCAAGAGTTGTTATTCCCTTGGGAATACTGCCGAGGGACATTGTGTAATAATTTATGTATAGGTTATTTTGAAATAGTGTAAGTGAGTGGATTTTTTCCCCAGTAGCGTATTAGCTACTTCAAATTAACAGTGTGTACATTATTACATTATCTGTTACCGTGTCTCATACATATTTATGATCAAGAGCTAAACTCTCACTGGTCCATTCGTCGTCACTTGCCAGTTGCCGTTTTAACTGTTTACCGGGGTGCACGCGAGGATCCACACACAAGTAAGATATGCCAACAGTTCAGTGGAATCATCATTCGTGTGGAGTATGCATGTGCTACATGCACATTACATATGAAGAGATAGTGGGGCACATACATGCCACCTTTTCTTGCCCCTGACATTTTTATGGCAACTGAATATGACTGAGGTGTGGTGGATCAAATATAATAGGATTTGTTTCTGGTAGGTAGTCAATTTTAGCTCCCTAACCTATTGTCAACTTCCAATAATGAGGAAGGCGAAACTTGCTATCGACTGGAAATAAACTGTTTCCATTTGTTTACTTCCACCCCACAGATGTTGCATTTGGCCATGTGGGTGGGTATTGCACTTAATGGCGTGCTCTGTTAATTGACAGACTGGCACTTTTCTGTTTGGTCCATTGAATGCCCATACACTCGCACATGTAGTTGATCACAAAAGGAAGCTCTCCTCGGACATTGCCTGTAGATCTTGGTAAAATCCACTGTAATGAAAGGCACATGGCCATTTCATATATTTAAGAATGTGATACCCTGTTTGTTCAGAAACAACTGAAAATCAGTCCTGTGTAGAAAAAAAAAGGAAGCTAAATGAAAAGAATTGATCAAGAAAGCTTGCAACTTTTTATCACTGAAATTTCAGATGACATGTAGACCTCTTTCATTACAATGGATCTATCCTGTTGGGTTGCCTAAATGTTTGCGTCCCTGTGTTAGAAGTGTTTCTGGAATATAAAATGACAAAGGTTTACTCATATTCTTCAATGCAAAGTGATCTTTACAGCCTTGCAAGAAGGATCACATCTTGTTTGAGGTACATGTGTTTAATGATGCTAGCAGTTTCAGTTTTTGAAACCCTCTTATTTAGTTTTTGAATTTTTTGTTTGTTCTATTTTTTCTGTATAATTGTGTTTTGTTTTTTTATAATGTGTTCATCCTCATCTGGGTTGTTTCATTAAATGTGGCTCTTTATTAAGATTAAGTTAAATACATATTTTATTTTAAAGACCATACCTTTTTCACAATATGCTAAAGCTACATGATTTCTATTTAGTTTCTAATTTTATATTTACCCCTGTGGTTATTTCTTGTTACAAATTTGTCACCGTAATGGAGGTTAAACTGCCTTTAAACCAAGCGTTTGTAATATGTGTATTGTAAAGTAGCATAATAAATAGCACATTTTGATTTGTATGTAAGCGGGGTTGTCCCATATATCTCGAGGTAAGACCAAATATATTTGGCTTCTTTTTTTCCTTTTTTTTTTTTTTTTTGGGAGGAATAAACCTGAAGTGATTGCATATTGTGTCCGTCTACTCTGAAGTCACGGGTCCGCCTCCATTTATTTGAGTCGAAACTGTCGAGTGCGTTTGTGTGGCCTTTCATAGGTGTAATCTTGGAGCTTGGCCCCATCAGAGCCCCTGCTGCGCTCACACCTACCTGTGAGTTGCGACCGATTTTTTTAAGAACCGGTGGCTGGCCAGGCCGATTTATCTGCAAGGGTGTTGGGTCAGCCATCAGCCGGGCAGAGAATAAAAAATCTTAAAACTAGACCAAGAAATTATGACGGGGGTTTGACACTGCGCTTGTCCTTGAAGTCAAGTTGGCAGGGAGATAAACATGTAATTGGCATTGGAGTAAGGGAGTAAAGGGCAAAAATCACCACATTTGCCTAAAGCCCCCCCCCCCCATTCCAATCAAGAAGTGCCTCCAGACAATGTTCTTGCACCTGTGTCTGTTACTTTACTTCCTGTTCTGTTGGAGTGTTTTACTGAACACTTGCAGGTGTTTTTGCTTTAACCATCATGAACCCTAAGCCGTGCCCACTTCGAGGCGCATTCTGATCCTATGCATGCAAGTCAGGCGCATGGTACGTGCAGCGCTGGGCGCTAGGCCAACGTGTCGTCTGCTTGATGATAGATGGCGCGCTTTTCACACCAGATGGTTCAGTTTAGCAAGATGGCGGCAGCGGAGTCTCCCGGGCCGAACACCGACTGGCAGAAAAACATCACATGCAGGTTTGTGAAAAGTGCGATTGCTAATTTTTATTGGGAAAAGTATAGCCTGATATATGTTGCTCTTGATGATCCCCAGGGAAACTGATGATTTCGGGGGAGTTGGCCAAAATCACTCACTTTAATTTCCCGAGCTCGCAGCCGCATGATCATGATGCAGCCAGCCCTGGGCCGGCCATAGACACGATTGACGACTTCCAGAACTTAGGTCTTAGCAGAGCTGTACAGATGGCAACGTGAACCATCATATCCGACATGGTGCTACTTTGGTTTGTATAAAATTTCTATGCCGTTACACCGATTTTGCCCCTATAATTTCATGAGGTCTCCCAGAACTAGGATACAATTTTGATTTTGTATGGGACGGGGAGGTTCATTTACATTATACAGTCGACTTCCGTTATTATGAGGGCTGGCGGACTTTCACAATTCTGTCGTTATAGCCAGAGCGTTGGTAAAACCGGAGCGCAATTTTTCACACTCATTTTGCACAAGTTTACAGCCACGTACGTGTCTGTTGTAATCATGTACAGGTACTCTGATACCGCACGCCGAACACATGAAAAGACAATGTTATGTGTCTCTTATTGATGCTGAATTTTTATCTAATGTTGATGAATAAAATGTTGTAAATAGAGTACATTTAAAAGTCAAATATTTCACAACCTGGATCAGAAGAAGCCAAGAAGAATAGCCGAGTGAGAAGAAACATTCAAGTCCATGCCTGTCAGTACATTAACGTCACACGTCCTGAGTGTACGGTTTGCTTTCGTCATGAATTGGCTAAAACCAGTCAAAAGAGGGCACCACTATTACCAGTATATCCGGGGGTTTTGTTGAGATGTAGATGAGATTATTTTTCTAGTGAAATTTTTCTTTTATTGATGCAAATAAAAGCTTTGGATTATTTTGATGCTTTTTGCAGGGCATATTTTCCTGCACCTGTTTTAAGGGAGATGTGTTTCACATTAGATTTGCATTTAATGAAACGGGACAAGAGAGGGAGCAATGTCATTGATGAAAGATCGGCGAGATGAAACAACATTACGTTGAAGTTCTTACAAAGGTGCATTGATAAGGCCTTGACAGACTGGGAAAACGTATGATGCCCAAATCGGGACAAGGGGTTTGTCGTTGACAGGTGCAGATAACACGGTTTGGAAAAAAGTCGCTGTAAATGGGTTGAGAACAATACTTTTGATCGCATCGGGTCGGCACAAATCGTCGTTTTAGGCGGAGTCTCGCGATATCTGTGCATGTAATAACCAAATATTTTTCCATAGCAACGAACACAAATTGTTCGGGACTGGGAGAATATGCTTGTTGCATCCGGGTTGTCGTTATGACCGAGCTCGTTATAACGGGAGTCGACTGTACCATCAAATTTATGAGAATTTTCCTTACCCACACCTGTGTCCACAACTGCCTGCATAGCTCACCTGATCATGTCAGTTGAAAGGTCATCGTTGTCAGCGGTGTGGCAGTGTCACCAATTACAACGTGGCTCCCATCTCTTTCTATTCAGTTTCCTTTCGCAAGCAGTTGTGGACACTGTGTGGGTCAGGAAAAATCTCATAAATTTCACCCTTTTAAATGGTAAAATGTAAATTAACCTCCCTGTCCCATACAAAAATGTATCCTGGGAGACCTCATGAAATTGTTGGGGTAACATCGGTGTACATGTAACAGCATAGAAATTTCATACAAACCAAAGTAACACCATGTCGGATATGACTGTTTACGTTGCCATCTGTAAGGTTTGCTTAACCCGGAAGTATTCCATGGATGTTAAACACCCCTCACGAAACATGACCTGACTAGCCGTAGGCCTGTGCTGTTGGTCAGTGACCAGCCAATTGCACCATAACCCACAGCTCAGGCCTAGGCCTACTTTGCCGGAACACAAATATGGTATAAGAAATCCATATCATGAAGATGCCTGGGTAGCCCCAGACTGGGGGCCAGTCTACTGCCGAGTACTGGACTCCCTCTGTATCCTTGGCCCCACACCAGTCAATCCAAAAAGTGGAGACTCTGCAAAAATGCCTTCTATGAAATCCCTTTGCATGTATGGATCTCTCACCCCATCAAACCACCTATGTGTTACTTTGGGCCATTCCAGTTTGTAGAAATCTGTGAAATTTTGGTATCAATTTGACCCATTCGTGTTTAGTGGTTAAAATGAATTGGCCTACTGTCTTATGATACCCCAAAATGGTTAAAATGGAGTTCATGTGTCCTGTCCTTTTTTCCTCCATTCAGATATTTCATCCATGGTGTCTGCCGGGCAGGGGACAACTGCAGATATGCTCATGACAGATCGGGGAAAGATGCCAACATTTGCCGATTTTATCTCAGTGGCAACTGTCGCTTTGGTTCAAGCTGCAGGTAGGGTCCTGTTTGACCCCTGTTGTAAGATCAAATACCATTCCGCAAGGTCAAATCTTTTTCAGTATTTAAAGGTCACTCAACATGCTTACAAAAATCTTTGTAACATTTGACTTTTATTCTTAATAAATTGGTTTGAGTCTTGATTGCTTTTGATTTATTTTTTATTCTAAAGGCCAAATTAAATGTCATTTCATGAAACTGTTGGCAGGTTAACCATTTCGCACTGGGGGCATTATGAATGTTGATGATGCTGGGACGGGATAATTTTCTTTCTTTTTTTCTGCTTTCAAAATTATTTAAAAATTCATGTCTTCATTTACTGGACGCTTACACCCACATGAAGGACTGTCTGGTTTCTACTGTAATCTGACAGATGACAGATTTTGGGGTGTTACGTAATTTTCTTTTGTTCACGAACCTGGCACAGTGCGCTGCTGACCTCTTTTCAATAGGGGCCAGATTAGTGTGCAGCGGTACTGTGTGGCTCATCACTGCGGTGGTGGAGCTCTTTTGTCCCCGATGGTAATCCGCTCACGCTAAATTCCCAAAACTGAGGCATGCTGTTTCAAAACAAGGCTAGATTATCTCCACTAATGAGAGTGAAAAAATGTTGGTAATGTCCAGCAGCCTGGTCTTTTGTTACGAGTAGGGTTTTTTGTTATAAGGCCCAGTTCCCTTTGAACGATTTCGGAGACCCTGGTCACGTGTGTAAAGAATACGGTTTCGGTACCGGCAACCCCGGCAGCAAGTGGTGTAAGTACAGTGATAAAATCACCCAAAAGCTAACAAAAAATCTGTTTAAAATTAAAAAATTATTCAAACAATACAGACAACTTTGGTTTCGAAAATCTCTTAGGGTACAAAATCATTCAGTGAATCTCAAGAAACTTGATCATCCACAGGTATGACCATGTCAAACCAAACTCAAAGAGCTCATCTCAAAGAGCCAATAAAGCGACTGCACTCAGTTCAGCCCATAAAGGCACCACCTCTGTAGGCACCCTGGAAGATGCCCCCAGCAAGATGGTGAAGCTGCGGAAAGGCTTGGCCAGCGAGGCGATGAGGGAAGACCAGCTGAGCCCACTCAGGAAGTGGCGCATGGAGGATCTGGTCGGAGCTGCCGAATTTGTGCCTGGTCAGCTGTACGTCGGCTCTGGTGAGTTTAGCTGCAAGTCTGTTTGGTCCCCCAACCTAGCTTTCTTCTGTCTATTCAAATGCGAGGTGATTCGCCTCACTAATTTTATTTAACCCACCCCCAGCCCTTTTCTTGCCAACATTGCCACCCTACAGTTAAACAAAAGAAAAGATAAAAATGAAAGAAAAATAATAAAAGTCCAAGTATTTTGTGGAATAGTTCTCGTTTGGATTGTTCTGACTGGCACAGAAGGCCACAGAATACAAACCTTTCTTACCACCTTATGCTCATCAGCAGCTCAGGGGAGACCGTAATTCCAATAGCACTTGTACAAAACAAAATGTCGCAGGCCATTCAAGAGCATCAATGCACTTATGCAAGGCTTACCGTATCAGTGCAGCCATACCCTGGCTCACATGCACTGACCATGATTGTGCTAAGACTGCTGTCATGGCATCCTTGTTCACAAATTACGTGACCTTTTGGAAGTAAGAATATTGGCCAAGTAGCGTGATTGGTTGTGGGTGTCACACAGTTTGCCTTGGCAACCCATTTATTGCCAGGCACCTTGTTACAATTTGCCTGCCAGCCGCTGCACTGTT